AAAAAAGCCGCCGTACAAATATAATCAGCTAAAAATCGAAGAACAGCGGGAATTTGAAGGAAACTATAGCTGTGAAATGCCATGTCTGATACTCCCCCCCAGAACTTCCTTTCAACCTTGGAAATTTTTTTTAGTGGAGACATCATGGAAAGTAAGGGCTTTTCCTTCATTTCGATCTATTCTCCATGAGATCTGTAAAACTAAGAGCATTTTAAATGCTTAGAAGCTGCAGTAATAGCCCTTCGAATTATTTTTCCTTCGTCCGTCCGTGATACTATATACCGCAATTTACGCGCCCGCCGTTCAAGCCACTGACTGTTTACAATTTCTGGTTATGATGGGTGGGTGTTTAGGGGGAAAATCATTCTTGCTCTGTCTTTTACGGGCAAGGAAATCTGTAATGCGCGCTTGACGTCATAGATTTGCTCAAAAGTTAATTTCAAATTTAAATTTCAGACGTCTGGTCTGGCATTTGACTAGGGAATGCTTGAATGTCTCCTCCCGTCCATCACCGTATAATTCCTTGCCGTTCAATTTTTTTTTTTTTTATTATTCAAAGGGTATTACTAAGTTTGTTTTGGTAACAACTCTGGTAGGTTTAGTCAATTTTTAGTTGACTAAAAAAACATTACGAACATATCATGGTGAGGTTCTCGAGCGAAATTTCTGTAAATCAGACTAAACACTCTTTAAGAGCCTCTCGAAAACTTGTCACATTTAACTTGGTAATTACACTTAATTAGCAAGAGCCAATAGGAATCCATTTAGCCCAGAGACAAAAAAAATTTACATCAGTTTTTGGGACAAACAACCTGATCGACTTGCCTTGGATTGCACAAAAATCGTGTTCATTAGATTGATTTCTAATCAACTTTTGTCGTTGTAAAGTTTGTAATGGATCAAAGTCGCGGAACGAACCAAGGTAAGTGGCCGCTTATAACGGTCATATATAATTTGAAGAAGGAACTTTCTCCGAAGGTCAAATCCCTCCACTGTGTTTGGTAAATAATTATAAGTTGGTATGACCACTTGGTTACGCATTGTTACTCGAGGGTCTCGATAAGGTCAACCATTAACCGCAATTCAGCCAAAATTTTAACCGTTAGTCGTAAACGTTTTCGATAAACATATACAGCCAAAAACTAGCAATAAAAGTCCGATGTTTCGGCGACCTCGTGGCGCCATTGTCAAGGAAAACTAAATTAAATATGCGATCTCAAGAGTAACTAAGAATCCAGAGTCACTAATTTACATAGGTCAGGCAAAGACCTTATAATTAGCGCGAATTGAGTCTGATTGGACATTCAAACACGGTCTTAATTGTTGAATGAGTAACATCTCATTAACGAGACAATCAAACTTATTATGGCATTTTTTCAACACCTTAAAGCAACTGTTAAAGTCATCCGGAATCCTGCCTGCGTGTAGAGTTTGCGCACTGACGAGGTCTTGCTTCTATGTCCATCAACGCGTACGGAGAGATGGCCACGGGTGTATCTGACATAACCAGCATCGCACTGATCACGCATCAAGGTATACACAACGCATTGTTGATCAATGAGCTGAGGCTTTGTTTCGCTTGTCGGGAACTCCTGGGAAATCTTGTGGCTCGTAAACACTGGTTGGACCGTGATGGTCTGGAGCTTCACACTAAGGTCTTTTAACTGTGTCTTAAAGATATTACCTGATTCCTGGTCTTTAAAGGCTATGACAACCCGAGTAGTGTTTTCAGTCGTAGATTTTAACCGCAATGAAGACTGGTCAGCGATCCTTAAGTTTGGGAAGGTTTTAAAAGTGGAGTCCACAAGGTGCTTGGGATACTTCAGTTTAGAGAACACAGACTTCATTCGTTCGCACTCCTCAGCGAAGTAAGACCATGACGAGGACAGGCGATATGCATGATCGAGCGTAGTTGTCAATAGGCCGTGCTTGTACCTATTATCATGACTGTGGTAATGGAGGAGCAGAGCATTGTTTGTTGGTTTCACGAACACTTTAGTTTCAATGTGGGGCGTTCTGNAAAGCTGTACAATGGTGTCCTGTCATTTCGGAAACGCGAGATATGATCAAACTTCCCCCCTTATATATTTTTAACTCAAGACTCCTTGAATTATATGTTTCTCATGGATCGCCATATATTTACTCTAATTTGAAATTCGATTCGTCTGATATCTGATTGAATCCTTTATGTGGAGCCAACTTTGCTTCGATTGCGGAGACAGTGCTACCGATAGAAACTCTGATATTTCCAACCGACACGGAAGAACAGGAAAAACCAGCGCCCCGGTGTTAATACTTTTTTTTTACTTTTAATTCAATGCCATCTGTGTTTTGTCAGTAATGTATCTTTAAGGCCCTATCAAACGTGCACAGTTTTTAGCTTTCCCTAAAAGGCAGATTATGTTAGTTTAAGATCTATACTATCTCTTAAACAAGATTAAAGTGATGCCTGACGGGTCAAAGATTGATCTAAACGGTGGGTTTTGCTCTTTAAAAACGCTCAAAATGTATTTTTGATTAGAGATTATTGTTAAATTTTTGAAATTTTTTTACAAATGCACGAACATGTAGAACTGTCCGTGATTTTATTATTTCATTTGTAACGACAGAGAATAGCAAATGTGACATTGCAATGTGCAAATCTTTGTTTATGAAATAAAGAGGGAAAAGATTGAAAAAAACACTCACACATGACCTACGATTTTTATTTTGTGAGGTGTTTGATTGCATTGGATAATGTTCAAGTTTTTTGAAGAGGTTTATATGGAGTCCATGCTCCCTCACTGCAGGGTGAACTTTTCAATTTTGTACGAAAAGACTGGTACACGCGAATGCTCAGTGAAGGACTGAGCCAACGCTCTATTTTCCAGCGGTGTAAAGATTAAGAGCGGCCATAATGAACATGGCTGTGTATCGTTACTGTGGTCTCTTTGGCCATTGCTGATCATCCTGCATATAAATCAGTAAAAAATGAGACTTTGTCCGATTTTACATCTTTTGGAGCTAAAATGCATCCTTAACTCTAAAATATTATGAAGAATCAGGAAAGCAGAGAGGAGGAAATGGCTTCACCAAACAGGAAGTTGCAACACTGAAACAGGAAGTGGCAACGAGTATGGTAACTTTCGTCCAAATAAGTGCTTTTACATTTAAGTAAAGCGTGGTTATGCTTTTAAGCGAAAGTCACAGTCTTACGCGTAATTATTTTTACAGATTCTTTCATGCCGCACCGATTCTTTACCTCAATAGTTATTAGGAACGGAATTCATCGAACAAGCTAAAAGGATGTTTATCAAGTGAACAATACTCGTAACTTGTTTTTTCCTTGTTTCCAGGCCGCAAGCCCTCAATCAATAGAAACAAGTCCAATATAAGGTTCATATTGCATAGTCATGATTTTTGTCGTGAATCAACGCTTGCAGATATTTTCAAACCTAAATTCAGGTAATGCTTTGAGTTGTCTAAGGATTTCTATATCTTAGTCTCTTGAGACTGTGGTTAAGTAAGGACAAACTGAATTGGAGAATACTACATGTACATCTAACCTTCTTTCTAACCTTCTTTCTAACCTTATGAAACATTATAAATGGTAATCTATTAAGACCTTGAAGTTAACTTATTAAACATTGTGAGCATTTTTGATTGACGAGTTACGTCGCGAAAGTTACGACGTAAAACTTATTTGACAAGGTTTTGATTGATAAGTTATAAAGGTGACAAAGTTTACGTCGTAAAAGATACGACGTAAGACTTATTTGATAAATTACGACGTAACGTGTAGTCAAAATTGAATTTTACGTCGT